TCCCTGGGGTGCCCGGGTGGCTCTGTCAGTTAAGCGTCTGACTCTTGATTTCGGCTCAGGTCATGATCTCATGGTTCGTGAGATCGAGGCCCGCATTGGGGTCTGCGCTGACAGCATGGAGCCTGCTTGGGATTTTCTCTCTCTCTCTCTCTCTCTCTCTCTCTCAAAATAAATAAATAAACTTGAAAAAAAAAAAAAAAGCAGGGATATTGCCTTCAAGGTCGAGCCCTACCTACTGGGATCATTTCTTGCTGCTTAATTTCAGTCATGATTGTTCCTTGGGCCCCATGTGCTTGCTGAAGGTTTGCGGCTCAGAGCCTTGAAGACCTGGGTTCAGAGCCTGACTCCACTTTTAGCTGGTTGTTGAGCTGCGACAAGCCAGTTACCCTCTCTGAGCCTTAGTTTCCCCGTCCGTGAAATGGAGATCACAGCAAAGCTCTACCCGCCTCTGACTGTGTGGATACGTGAGATGATACGCACTCAGAGGATCCGGCACGGGGCCTGGCACACGGGGAGCTCGGTGTCCGAGGAGCTCGCTAGGAGTAGGGACTGCACTGGCGATCACAACCCCAGGGGGCAATCTGCACCCTCCGGTCCCGGTCTTACAGAAAGGAGGTGGTGAGGAGACAGGGGGGTCTGGGGTGAAAATCAGGGCCCGGGTTCGGGTAATGACACCCCCCCCCCCCCACCACCTCAGGGAGCCTTACCTTGCCCAGGGAGAGCAGTGTGGAGATAGCCCGGAGGGAGAACTCAAGCACCACCAGGGCGGCCACCCGGGCCCCCACGACGGTCAGGATCAGGGCCAGCCCTGCCAGGTGCACGGTCTCCAGCGAGGCCCACGGGGCCTGCAGCCGGTGCTTTTCTGGCCGCCGCTCAGGGTTGCTGCGGGGCAGAATGGACGTGGGCAGGGCCAGAACCACCAGCCTCAGCCTGGGCAGTGGTCCCCGTGCCCCCAGACATGCTCACTGGGGATAGGGTTCCCTTCCCTCCGGCCCTGCCCTCACAGGCCGGAGAGAGCTGGGGGCCCAGGAGTGGGCTGGGTTGGCAGGCACTCACTTGGCACAGTTCACAAAGAAGTAGACCTTCAGGAGGCTGTTCAGGACGGAGACTCCGCTGGCCCCGATGAGGCCTGAGGGGCAGGAGGGAGGGCAGGCGGTTTGGAGGGTTAGAGGTGGTGGGAGACCCACGTGGTGGGGGGCGGGGGCGGGGGGGGGTCCACCCTGCAGCTGCCCAGAGCTGCCGGAGGGGGCGGGGCTGCACGGGACAGGGAGGTGGCACTCACCTTGCAGGACAGAGTCTAGGAGGCTGGAGCCCCACTGGAGGGAGGGGAGGCCGGGGAGCCAGGAAGGCAGGGATGGCAGGGAGAACATGGCCGCTGCCGGGATCAGCCCCCGCCTCTGGCCAGGTCTGCTCCAGAGAGACCAAAGTCACGGGGCAAAGGTGTCAGTGGAGGGAGGGGAGGGGCAGGGAGGGATCAGAAGCTCAAGGGAGGGAAGGGGAGGGGAGGGGAGGCAGGGATACCTTCAGGGCCCCAGGGTTACTGGCCTCGGGAGCCTACTGCTGTCCAGGGGCTCCGCCTTTGGGCGGCATGAAACCAGCACTGATCTCTGGCCTCTGTCTCTGCTCAAGTCGGGTGCCCGTTTTTCTCACCCTACCTTAGGCCTTGCCCCACAGGGCCTTCCTGAAGCCCCAGGCCTTATCTGTTGCCCCCCACAGCCTTGCATCTGGGCTCTGCCCCCTCAGCCCCAGTTCTGGAAGGTGGTCCGTACCCCCCACAACCTGAGGTTGAGATACAGTTCTGGGCCCCCCCTCTCCTTCCGCCACTGGGCAGCCTGCCTCGACGATCCTCCCCGTGTCCACTAGGTGGCAGGCCTCAGTTGGGTTGGAAGCCGAGGGTGCGGCAAATCCGGATCCTCCTTCCCCAGACCGAGGAGGGAGCCAAGGGGTGGGGGGTGGTGTCACGGGTGGGGGAGACCGAGGCTTCAGCAGAAGGGAGTCGTGGAAGTAAACAAAATAGAAAACTTTATTGGTTTGGAGTGTGTGGTGGGGTACCCCCGGGGAACAGCAGACATGGGGGATGGCAGGGGAGGTGGTTTAGGCTCTGCTTGGGCTGGGGCCAGTCCTATCCCTTCCAGGGACTCGGTGTCATTCTCTGAAGCACAAAGGTCAGTGTGGGCCTAAGGAACACACTCACTGGGAGGAGTGTGGCTGCAGCCTGGGGAAAGGGCCCAGGGTGAGGACACCTAGCTCTGCTACTCACGTTGAGCCAGTCCCCTCCCCACTCATCTGAAGAATGGGCATGTCCAGAGACCCCTTTCAGAACGGTCATGAGGATTTGTCTGGACGCCCACAGTGCTGGGCACCTAGGAAGCCCTCAGTAAAAGCTTCTAGTAGTTGGTGTTATAGGCTGCATTATGTCCCCCCCACTCACATTCATATATTGAAGTTCTAACCCCCTATATGTGACTGTAATTGGAGATGGGGTCCCTAAAGAGATAATTAAGTTAAAACGAGGACATTAGGGTCGGTGCTAATCCAACACGACTGGGGGCCTTATAAGAAGAGATTAGGACACAGACATAGAAAGAAGACCATGTGAGGACCCGGGGGGAAGATGGCCGTCCACATGCCAGGGGGGAGAGAGAGAGGGGAGAGAGAGAGAGAGAGAGAGAGAGAGAGAGAGAGAGAGAGGCCTCAGAAGAAACCAACCCCGCTGATGCCTGGATGTCTGACTTCCAGCCTCCAAGCTGTGAGACAATATCTGTTGTTTAAACCATCTTGTCGGAGGTCCACTATGGCCTCGTGGTGCCTCACAGTGACTGTCGGGGGCCCTCCAGCCCTCATGGTCCTGGCTCTTGCCAGGGACACCAGCCTGCGCCGGGCAGAGCTAACTTCCAGTCCTCTTTCTGCCACTTCAGAGCTGTGTGGCTTTGGTCAAAGCACTTCCCTTTTCTGAGTTCTTAGCTTCCTCTTGGTAAAAGAGGGTTTTACTGTCTCACACTGTTTGAGGACTAAGCAAGCTGATGCATGTAAGCGACCCAGCTCAAGGTGATGGCCATGTCCCGGAGCAGCGATTATCATAATGAGTAAGGCTCTGGGATAAGGTAACCCAATACAGAGGGGGAAGAGAATTTGCTGGAGAACAAAGTGGCTGGCCATCCAGAACAAATGCTCTGGCCTGAGAGGGGGCCATGGGTCTGGGGGGGACCAGCGCTGTCCACACTCTCCTCCGACCTGTGGCAGGGTCTAGGCCAGTGGTCTGCTCTGAGCCGGCCATTCCCAGCTGGAGCAGGCCATTGCTTCCTGCCGAGTGCCAGGCTGTGTCGGGAAATGGGGGTGAGGGGTGCCCCCTAGGTGCCCTGGTGCAGGCCCCGCCCAGCCAGTTTCCGGAGCTCATCCCAGAAGAGCATGCTGAGGATAGTGTGGGGGCCCAGGCGCAGGTAGGCTGGGCCCAGACCCTTGTAGAGTGCCAGGGGGCCCTCCTGCCGCCAGATCTTCACCAGGCAGTCGGCGAGGCCACCATACAGCTGGCCCTGGGGACAGACACGGGGCAGATGTCACTACAGGGAACGTGGCGCCCTGGCTGGCACAACCAGGGGTGTCTGTGTGTGGGGGCTACTGTGGCACATCAGTAGAGAGACTCTCCCCAAGCTGGGCAAATTCTAGAAAGGTGGCCCTGTAGGCTGTGAAATGTAAGAAGCCTCTTCGTCCAGGCAGCCACGGCCCCATGCCTGGGGGCTGAACTTTGGCTAGTGGCACACAGGTGGATTTCAGCCCTCACTCGGCCTGTGGAGGGCACCTCTGTGCTGAGCGCAGCCTGCACCGGTGTATGCGAGGGCCCGTGTGCGTGAGGCCGTGGGGTCAGGCCTGGATTCTGATTCGGGCTCCTCCACGTATCAGCCGGGCGACCGCACACACAAGTCACCAGATCTCTCTGAGCGTCAGTTTCCTCATCAGGAAGATGGAGGTGATGGTGAGGATGGAATAAAACCCAGAGGTGAAAATGCTTAGCCCATGCCTGGGACATAGGTGCTCAGCAAACAAGGCAAATCGATGCGTTTCCATGCATGTCACGTGTCTGTGTGTCTCTGGCTGTGTGTGTGTGTGTGTGTGTGTGTGTGTGTGTGTGTGTGTGTTGGAGGGTGCTCTCCAGCTTCCCACTGGCCCCCCACCCCCCGCACCAGCCCCTGCTCACTTTGCCAGTTCCATCCACGGGCTGATTGTATAGCCGTGTGCTGACCACGTCGAAGGGGGTCATGACTGCGGCCACGGCGACGCTACTGATCATGCCTCCAGCCAAAGCCACCAGCCAGCTGTCCTCCGGGAGCCACTGTGGGGTGGTACAGGTTCTGACGCCTGCAGGTGCCCTCCCCCCACCCGCAGGGTACCCACCCTCCCCTCCCAGCGTGTGGGGGCTGGGAGACCTAGGGGAAGGGGAACAGACCGGGCGCCTCCAGCTACCTCCCACCCCAGCTCCTTCACAGCTACAGGGCTCACTGCTGGCCCCCACTCCTGCTGGGCACAAGGGCCAGGGACATGACCTTAAGGGCAGAGCTAGGGTCCTCAGCTGTCTTCAGGGGCCCTGTCTGTCACCTCCCCGTTGGCTTCCCTAGGTGGGGGTGCAGCTGGAGATGTTAGGGAGTGATGAGGGCCCAGAGGGGGAGAAAGGAGGCAGGCAGCCCTTACTTTGGGGTGTCTGTGGGTGGGCAGGCACAGGTGTCCCTGGCTCCTCACCTGTTGTTTCTGCACCCAGGCCTTGGCAGAGGCAAAGGTGGCCAGCTGGGCCGCGGAGCCGACCATGACCCTGGGCACGGCCCCACCCACGCCCCGCCATAGTCCTGCCAGGCCTTGCTGCCGCCAGATGGTCTCCAAGGCCCCCAGAACACTCTGCGGGGAGAAGACGCCGCGTCATGGTCAGCCCCTGCCGGCCCAGGAGCCCATCCGGCCCAGGGAGCTCTGGGGAGTGACGGTTCCTACCTGGTGATGGTGCTGATGCCCCACAGCCATCGCGGCCACCGTCTGGGCCTGCAGCTGTGTTTTGACCTGTGACAGCAGATGTGAGAGAGGGCCTGGACGAGCGCGCCCCGACATCCAGAGCGCCACGAGCCCACCCCCACAGCTGAGGGGGCGTGTGGGATAGAGTCGGGGGCGAGGCTCTGAAGTTAGCCTGGGTCTGCATCCCGGTGTGACCGGAGCAAGTTACTTAACCCCCTCCAGGCCCGTCCGCTCACGCCTGACAAGCTGTTCTGAGGACTAAGCGGGATGACGACGGTACAACACGCAGCCGGGGACGCGGGGGCCTCGCTTATTTTTCACTCGCACAGGCTGCACGGGAAGATGGGTGGCCACACGGGGGTGGAGCCAGCACACATCCTGCCACCCTCTGCCCCCTCCTCTGGCTCAGGCCTGGTGGGGCAGGGACCCCAGGAGGATGAGGATCAGGACCAGGCTCTGGGGCTTTGAGCCAAGGGGCAGATTCCAATCCCGGGCAGGGATGTTCCCCGCCCAGCAGGCCCCACCCGGCCGTCCAGGTCGGTCCGCAGGGCCAGCCTGGGAGGCTCCAGAGTCCCCGGGCGAGCTGGGTCATGGGGTGATGGAGGATGGAGAAAAGGCACTCACCAAGTAAGCAGGGCTCCCCACGAAGGCTCCCAGTGCCCCAGCCACGGCGCCTGCGACCACGGTGCCACCAGGCTGTTGGGTGAGGCCAGCCTGGCACGCCAGGCTGTAGCAGTAGAAGCGGACGCCATTCATGAGGCCCTGGTAAAGGAGGCCGGCGGCCAGCCCCTTCTGCAGGCCACACAGCCCATCTGCACGGATCACTGCGGCCACCGAGGCAAAAAAGCCCCTGTAGGGCCGCGGGTAGGTGCCCCGGGCCCGCAGCTCCCCCTGCAGCTGCAGCCGCGTCTTCACCACCTCTAGGGGGTTAGTGAAGACACAGGCCAGGCAACAGGCCGAGGCGCCTAGCACCAGGTCCACAGCGGGGGCAACCGTCTCCCTGGCCTCTGTTCCTGAGGCCCGTTGCGCCCCGGGCAGGGACATGGGCACAGGCCCTGGGGTGGCGGAGCTTACGCTGTCTGCACCCCCGCAGGGCCGCCCGGCTGGGGATCAAGGGGGCCTGGGGCCATGTCTGGAGGGCAGACGTCCAGGTCAGACAGGCCGCCGGGAGGCCCCTGGTCTATCCTGGGAGTCCACCTGCTCTGCTCGGCCGCTGGGGCTGTTGGAGCCCGGGACACGCCCCTGCTGGCTCTGACCAATCCCAGCTGTCTCTGTTCTCCACACCTCCCCGCAGGGGTGGGCCTGGACCCTGGGATCTGGGGAAAAGGTCACCTGGGGCAGGAGGGAGATTGGGGGCGGGGAGAAGGTGTCAATCAGCTGAGACACCTCCTCCTGTTTTTCTTATCCTCCTGCCCTCCCTGTGGCGCTGGGGCGAAGGGCTGGTGCCCCTGCCCCGCCTCTGGTTTAGCCAGTCCTGCTGCAGCTCGGAGCCCTGGGCATAGAGCAACTGCCCGGGGAGGCTCCTGAAACCGTGCCCAGGCAACTCGCTGACTGCCCACAACCACCCTGCCACTGTCCTTGCGGCTTCTCCGTTCCCGGCCTCAGTCTTCCAGTCTGGTTCCCACAGTCTATGGTCCCACTGAGAGCAGAGGTGGAGAAGGGCTTCTTGAGCCCTGTGGAACTGCTTTTGAACCCCGGGCTCTGCTACCATGTGTGACTCTG